TTGCCTTACCTCTAAGCGCGCTCATTTTTTTATTTTTTCATTAACTCAAAGCGCACTGTTTCTTTACTGTTTGTGATGTTAATTCTAAGCGCACTGTGTCTTTTCTGTTTGTTTGTTACATTAATTCTAATGGCACTCTTTTCAGTTTGTTTGTTACGTTAGTTTTTCGCACACAATGTGTTTTCTTTTTGTTTTTGTGTTACCTTAGTTCTAAGCACTCAGTGTGTTTTCTGTTCGTTTGTTACGTTATTTCTATCGCACTCTGCCTTGTTTTTATTTGCTAAAAACCTGCCTGCTTCCTGTGAAGTAGGAGGTCACTTTTTCATCTAGTGGTTTCTCCAAACCAAAAGGTTAATTGTATTTTTGTTGCTACTGATCTTTTTTCAAACCCTACCGCCATACGTGTGCATGGCCCTCCTTTGTCTGCGTTTTCAGCTACTCGCTGATAAACGAAAGTATTGAATTTCCAAGATTACAAATGGGTATTTAAAACTGACTTCCAGTGATTTTTCTGAAAATCTATATTCTGACCAAACGAAAAGAGATTCTGAGTTTCAAATTAGACATTGTTAGTCACCTGTCTCATTGATGCAAAATGCTTTTGCCTTTTCATTCCAATCCTAATTCAGCTCTTGCTAGATTGTCATTTATTTTAGTTGTTATCGCCCATAGGTGTAATTTAAATGATTCAACTTGACAGCTTTCGTCCAAAAGTCCCAGAATCCTCCGATTTCGTATAACCCGTTTCCAGATTTCCCAGGCTCCTCCATTGTTGCGAACGCAATTTCCCGCAGAGACTGGGAGCAATTCCAGCACCACGAGGCACTGATCAAAATGGTGGGTAATGGAATTGTTGTGATATTATTTTCGATCTTTTTACTTTTTTAGCAAAGTCCAACTGTTTGTAATTCCGCATTTAGGTTCTGTTCGTGTTGTACGAGCACGCCTCTGGCTATGCTGTGTTCAAAGTCATCGCGCAGGAAGAAATCGGAGTTCTTTTGCCCGAAGTACAAGAGTCCGCTACCGACCTCTCTCGATTCGGAAAATTAGTGAAACTTGCTGCGTTTTCGCCCTTTAAATCAGGAACCAATGCACTGGACAACATCAACTGCATATCTGAAGGTTTGCGAGCGTATTTGCAATGCTGTGAAGTTGCTTGATCGCGGGTTACAAAGTTTGTTTACGGTAGTAATTTGAATTGAATGAAAATATGCATATGACGTAGCTACAATTTGCTTCACGTGTTAGAAATAATTGTTTTGTCGTGCTTCTTCTTCTTCTTCTCCTTCGTCCTTTTGACGGGACAACCAACCTTCCATCAAATAAGATCGAGCATCGATCCTGTGTGTGCATTAATAAAGTTTTAATATGCTTTCAAAGCAGACCTAAAATTCCATTGAAGCCACATTTTAATTATTTTTGAAGCATTAACTTAATTGTAGTTACAGTAGTGTAATATCTTTTTAACTATTAACATCGTAATGTTGGTATTTTCCACACTGTTCTTGACAAGGAGAATTTGTTTGACAGTATGAAGCATCTTAGATTGCGGACCATTTTCTATATTCTCCTGACCGGTGCATTTCAATTAAGGTTGATAATGTAAGGAGAAATAAGAGTCCAATAACACTGCGAGGGTTAAAGTGCACCTAAACCCCAATTTTTTCTTTTTCGCTTAACGAAGTAAGCGTATTTTTTGGAGTATTTCTGTGCAAAAAATTTTTAATTTGCTCAAATCTTTAATTTTCTGTGCCATGTCAAAATACGGAAAATCGGCCGCCATCTTGCCCCACGACCGAGTTTAAAGAGGAATGGCACAGAAATACTCCAAAAAATAAGCTTATTTTGTTAAGCAAAAAAGAAATTGGGGATTTAGGTGCACTTTAAAGGGCTAAGTTATTTATTGCCAGTGATTTCAGTTGATTTTGTACAACATTTTTACTTTACTTCAGGTATTATCCACGATGACCTCAAAACGTTTTTGGAGACAAATGTTCCAACTGGGAAGAAGAAGAGTAAGGTTCTTCTTGGTGTTTCGGATGCCAAACTTGGGGCAGCCATTCAGGAGACTGTAAACATCCAGTGTGAATCAGGTGGCTTGGTGTTAGAGGTTCTCAGAGGAATAAGATTTCATTTTGAGAAAATGATTAAGGGATTGACAGGTCCAATGGCAGCCAAGGCACAGCTGGGTCTGGGTCATAGTTACTCCAGAGCAAAAGTGAAGTTTAATGTTCATCGTGTCGACAACATGATCATCCAGTCCATTAGCTTGTTGGATCAGCTGGATAAAGATATTAACACATTCTCAATGAGAATCAGGTGTGTAGATTGATCCATGACATGGTTTTAATCTGGTTAGGAAATTTCTGGATATCAAAAGTTTCATAGTTGTTATTGTAAGGACTTGCAGAAGTGTGGAAAAATAGCATTTAGTTATTTAAACCAAGCTTGGGTGTGGGTTAATGCATGTTTGTTTGTTTGTTAATTTGTGAATTTTGAACGTGATTAGTGGCTTAATTGGCTGTCTCAAGTCAAGACCATCTGATTTCGCCTCTCCAGTTACACGTGTTTGTAATGAGACAGGCCAAATCAGACAGATAGGTAGGCAGCCAGGAAATGATGAAGTTATTTCAGCCACATGCCAGTAAAACTCAACTACCTAGCCAATGCTACCCAGTTAAACTTGAAACTTCTCGAGTAAGCAGGTGGAGAAGTTCACATACGAAACAAGCATTTAACAATAAGAAGCCTATATGGTCTTTCATAAAATTTTTCTTTTCTTAGTTTCTTGTATTTTGTTACAGACACGATTAATATTGGTAATTGGAATTCTTGTTTTATAATTCAGGGGTAGTCAAGGAGGTAATTTCAAACCACTCACCCTGTTACTCCCTGAATTGTACTCGACTCAGCGCTATTATTATGATATAATTGAAAATCAAATATTCATTAACAGTAAACATTCAAAATATCCAGAAAAATGGCAGTGACTAGTTGATCACTTACCATGACCACGTGCGAGTACTCTAACTTATCGTAGGAGACATGCATTAAAATAAGGTTGAAATGCCCCCAGCCTCCCTTGTCCCACATTATCAACTCAAGCAACCTCTAAAGTTCACATGTACTTATATGTCCATTTTTTTTCCCCTTGATACAGAGAGTGGTACTCATATCATTTTCCAGAGCTTGTGAAGATAGTCTCTGACAATTACATGTATGCAAAAGCAGCTCAGTACATCAAATCTAGAAAGGATTTCACTGAAGACAAGCTGGAAGGGTTGGAAGAAATTGTGATGGATTCAGCTAAAGCCAAAGCAATTTATGATGCTTCCAAATCATCAATGGGTGAGTGAACTGATAAGTGATCCTAACAGATCAACTTTGTTAATTGCCACTTTTCCTTTCGAATTGAACCCCTTGCCATTTTTAAAAAATACTGAGATTCAAAATTTTTGAAACAGATAATCTGGGGAACATTTCAGTTTTCAATTAAGATAATTTTTTGTAGTAAGCAATCAAAAATGCAATCATATTAACTGTGTGATTCACAAGATCAGAGTGTCTCCGTAATTGAAAAAGAGAAGTACCCCCATGGAAATCTACCCTTTGAGCATTAAGACCTCCTTACCAATTTTTTTTTTTTTTTTTAAATGACATGTACCAATATACTGCATTGACTTTTGCTACTTCAAACTCAGTAACTGATTAATCTAAATTTTTTATTGTGGTTTTTATTTCCTCAGGAATGGATATATCTCCAATTGACTTGATAAATATCCAGACCTTTGCATCGCGGGTGATCAGTCTGGCAGAATATAGGAAGAGTCTCCACACTTATTTGGTTTCTAAAATGAATCAAGTGGCACCAAATCTTTCTGCACTCATTGGAGAGCAGGTGATTTTTAATAAATTAAAGTGAATAATTTAAATGCCATATTGGAAACAAAGGCAGATGGTTTGGTTAAACATTTTATCATAGCAAGTGAATCATTTTTGACAAGTTATTCAATGATTCCATTGGCAAAAACTTTCTTATCCTTGCTTAGATTTTTTCTTGGCAGATTGTTGCCCATTGTTAACTCAGGGTTGAATTTAGTAGTTTTTTCTTGAAATTGTTTGGATCAGATTTCCTCAAGTGACCTGGACAACAGTAACTATACTGTAACATTGGCCATTTGATGATAACATTTCCTTGTTGTTATTATTTCAGTATGATCTTTAGGAGAAAAACAAAGGAGTTTTGAAATTAGTAGTTAGAAATATAAACTTAAATAATCTTTAAAATTTCACCAAGAAACTTAACACTGTTTCACCAAGGGATTTGTTTCTCGTAAATCTCCTCTTTCATCACCATCAAGGTTAAAAGTATAGAGAAGTAAAGCAAGAGAAGTTTCTTTCTTTTTAACTGAATGGTACATGTCTCTATGTTTGTATTTATCGTGTCACTATTTTAGGTTGGAGCTCGTTTGATCTCTCATGCTGGAAGCTTAACAAACCTCGCAAAGTATCCTGCATCAACAGTTCAGATCCTTGGAGCTGAAAAAGCTCTATTCAGGTAACTTATGTTAAAAAAAGGTATTTATTTTTATGTTTAAGAGGGAAAGTGACTCTCTTAGGGCAGGTTACTGATAAAATTCACTAGATAACAAAGCAGCAATGGCTGGTTGGATTTTGGCCAGTGATTGCTTGGTAAAGCATTACAGGCACTTTTGGGATTATACCATGTCACTTGAAATTTCTGCAGGCATCCTCAGTAAAACCCTGTTTAGTTCTCTTAATTTGTGATATGATTCATGTTACCTTTTTCTTTCTTAGGGCCCTGAAGAAAAAGGGAAATACACCAAAGTATGGTCTTATCTTCCATTCATCCTTTATTGGCCGTGCTGGGGTTAAGAACAAGGGGCGTATATCAAGATACTTGGCAAATAAGTGCTCCATTGCCTCCAGGATTGACTGCTTTGCAGGTACAATGATAATGAATTTCAATTGTCTATGTATGTTAGTCTCACAGATGTACAACTGTTTTAGATACAAAAATTCTTCCAGTGACTATTCATCATTGCACGGAAGTAAACGTGCAGCCAGTTGGACTGTTTATTGCCCCACCCATCTCCCTATCCATTTGAACTCAGAACTCAGGGTGGTTTTCTCAAAAGGTCTTTTTTCCCTTTAATGACCAAAAGTGGAGGATTGTAAACTCTCCAGACAATGTACAAATATGAAATATTTTCACATGCCCAAATCATTTGTGAAAGATAGCTGTCTAAGGTCATCATTGAACAGTTGCTCTATCCTTCAGCAGATATAGGCAATATTTCATTATTTACTCCTTTGTTAATTTTTATGGAACCTGTTGCTTGTAGTATTTTTACTATTGCAAGTGTTGAGTAATAAAAGGAAAAATCACTAAGAAGAATTTGAAACCAGCAGATTTGTTTCTCTCAACCACCAAGCGTCAGGGAACTTTTGTCAAGCTAAATTAAGCACTGTAGATTCAAATGTTAGATGTTCAAGTGACTCCTAACTCTTTTGAAGACCCATAGTAGTAAGCTCATTCGAAACAAAACACTCTCTCGTTTATTGCTTATGGATTTGAGAGTCAAATACCAGCGCTGAAAAACTTCATGACAAAGAGATAAACAAGTAAATAGTCGATCGATAAATGATGATTCATTCGTTGCTTCTTATTGTCTGTTTGTTTGTTTGTTTTTTTTTTCTTTTTTTTCTTAACAGAAACACAGTCCAATGTGTTTGGTCAGAAGTTACACGACCAAGTGGAGGATCGACTGAAATTCTATGAGACGGGAGAGGCTCCAAGGAAGAATATTGAAGTTATGAAAGAAGCTATAGCAGAGTTCGTGGAAACAAGTAATGCAGCTGATGATGAATCAACTGAAAAAAAGAAAAAGAAAAAGAAAAAGAAGGAGAAAAAACAGAAGGATGAAGCTGTCGAGGGAGAAGAGCAAGCGGCTATGGATACGTCCGCTGCTTCAGAAAATGGACACGATGAGGGAAGTAAAAAGAAAAAGAGAAAAAATAAAAAGGATGAAGCTGTTGAGGAAGAAGAGCAAGTCCCTATGGATGCGTCCGCTGCTTCCGAAAATGGACACGATGAGGGAAGCAAAAAGAAAAAGAAGAAAAAGGAGAAAGGAGAGAAGAGAAAAGCAGAGGAAGAAGAAGAAGAAGTCGTGCCTGCCATCAGCCAAGAATCAAGTGAGCCGAAGAAAAAGAAGAAAAAGAAAAAGAGAACTGACGAATAATAATTTGTCACTGATTTGACTTCTTATAGCTCACACCTCCTGTCCAGCAGAACAACTGCATTGTGGCCAGACACGGACTTCATGATCTAAGACAAAATGTCATGATGACTGAAGTCATTTGTTTCTTAAATGAAATAGATAATCTATGTCTGTTCTTACCAAGAATAGAAGTAAAATATTTCGTTTGTCTCGTATCCTGTTATTAAACCCTCTTTTTCCGTTCTCTCCTTTTGTCTGCTTTTACTGAACACGTTATTAATATGAAACAATTTTTAGTGTAATAGAAAAAATGCGAGCCCCAGATGGGACATGAACCCACCATCCTCCGTTATTAATAGCCTTTTATTTATTTTTTCTGAAGGCTTCCTTTAAGCCCGCTTTGTATTAGATAGTGAAACTGGCCACACCTCAATCTCTTTAAATTTGTTAGACAATCCCCTTTTAAAGGCCTGTCCAATAGGTGAGGCCGGGAAAGTCACAATGTCCGTTGATGCACGAGAGGAAACATTTCTTGAAACTTCCTCTTCATAGCAATGCATCAGTCACACGAGATTATAAACTTCTCATTTTCTGGTAAATATAAGGGGAACGTGTCTTTTGCAACACTTCGTTTTAGAGGAGCCGATCTTTTATTTTAGAGGATGGGAAATGTTGATTTAATATTTGCAAATGTCCAACTGCTGAAGAGAGCACTTCATTCCCGATTGGTGCTCACCCAAAACAGATTTTCCCTTAAATAAAATTGCATTTCTCACTCGTAAAACCTTTCCTCGAATGAAATGGGGGAACTTCATGCCTTCAAGGTATTCTGAACCTGTAAATAGCGAGACACTACGAAGAAACCACTATCACATACTTCCCTACTTGGAACTCGATGAGCTCTTTACTTTCAAACTGCCGATAATTGTGCAACCTAACGGGTTTCCTCTGTTTGAGTTATGGAAGGCTCATTTCATTAACAATATTTCATTTGAAATGATCACGAGGAAAAGTAGCAGTGAGTGTCGGTTTGTCTACTCAAAGACCCTATATTCGAAACGCGATTTTGATTTCTTTCGCCACAGGATTCTCGCAACAGAATTCTCACAAGTTACCCTTGCAGCCGTTGGGCTCGTCGCGACAAAAGCGCGCAAGGGATGAAACGCTGGTAAAGATCTCCCTCTGGCCTACCCATACGCGTTTCACTCGTGCATCTTCTTCGCATGATACATTGTTCGAGGATGTGGCATGACAACCCATTTGACGGCTTCAAAGTGGCTAAATTGTCCAATCACATGAAATCCTTCAAGCCACGTCTACCATATTCAGGCACTAGTTTTTATGATATGGATTTTTAAAACATTTGTCAATACTGCCTATGTAGACTGGACACCACAGAGAACTCCCCTTTCGGTTCAGAGAGACCCTGAAGTCTGAGACACAATTGGTGAAGTCATATATGAACACGTTCCTTTCGATAGACAAGCCGTCCGGTCCGTGATTTTTGGGCAAGTAATTCATGGCAGTACCCATATAGACTCCCTGTTACCCAGTCTCCATATAGACTCCCTGTTACCCATTCTCCCTGTGTACCCTGTGTACCCTGTGTACCCTGTGTACCC